AGGTCGGCAGAGCTTGTGGATAAGTTAGCGCGGCTTCTCAGGTTACATGTTACTAGTAGCAGGCAATATCCCAAACCAAATGGTGAGTAGTCTAGCAATCGTAGAGCAAGAGGGATCCACTGCGCGGTGGGAAAATGCTAATTGCGAGGTGACAGTGAGTCGCACATCGTCGCTGCAAGGGTGGCTGAGTGCCTTGCTGAAGACCAACTCGCGAAACCTCTTGTTCAATGCACAAGATAAAGAGATAAAGCCCACCTTCATCCGATCCGAAGCTTCAAACCCGAAGCCCCAAAACGAAGCCTCAGTTTTCATGTCAGAACGTGGAAATGAACATAGGCCTACTGGGACGCTGCTGAAGTCAGCAGCCACCACGGGGGAGCTCGAGACCAACCTGCCCAAACTGAACGAAAGTTTAGCTGGACTGTAAAAGGGTTTCGGCGGTTTCGGAAATGCTGAATGGCTTAGGCCGCAGATGAGTTGCATAAGTTTGGCTCTTTGGAGAAGGTTTTGACCAAATCCCTAGCCCTGCAGAATCTTCCTTTGCGCCACTCCTGAAGCAATTCTGGAGTCGCTGAAGGCTTCCCATCCAAACAGGGAAATGCCTAAAACAAAAATCTTCACAGCTCTGTCCGGAGCTCTCGACATGAGGAACCGATGCTTGGAAACCGACTTTGGACACGAGACTCGCACCACAGCTCGGGATATACAGCTGGCATCTCGAGTCTAAGGGTTCGGGACTTCATCAAGGAACTGAGGTTGGATCCGACAGCTGTTCAGGGTCAGACAATACGGAGAATCACACAGCCGGAAGCCCCTCACCATTGGAGAGAAATCGCTGGCTGGATCCTAATGGTCCAAAATCAGCTGGACTCGCTCATGAAGCTTGAGCTGCTGCACAGTGAAGTATCATCACTTCTTCAAAACCACTTGCAAGCCATCCACCGGGAACAGGCCGGGTGTGTAGCCTGAGCACACAACATGAAGCAACTAAATCAGGTAGACATGGCAGCACTGCATGCCGGCTGCGCAGGTTCAACAAGCTGGCAGTCAGAGGAAGCCTTTCAACAGCACCTCCCATGCTTGTCATTTTGAGCAAGGATGGAACTGGAAAGGTTTGGCTCATGTAAAGCTTCCAATTTCAGGTGCAACTATGCACTGGCAGGCCATGATTACAAGCCACAGTATGCGACTGAGGTGGTTGAGTTGCTGCTTCCCTGTAGCTGCAAGCATCGGGAGACGGATAGTCTTCCTGAATGCACTTTCCGCGCACGCAAGTCCCTCTGCCGGATGATGCAGGCGAAAACTCAAACATCTTGTCCTCTCGCCCTCGCATAGGGAAAACAGCCCCAAAATTCGAAAGCCCGCTGATGTTGCCGTGTGGCGCTGTGAGAGGTCCTGCCCTGGCTCCAGCTCCCAACGGAAACCGCCCGGTCCGAGGACCTCCTAAGAGGGAAGCTTTCGCATGCCGCAGTCAGGGTTTCCCACCCTTGTTTCTGCTAGCTCGGGCGGCTGGGATGCAAAGGGTACCAGAGGCCGGACCAGTGAAATGGCTCCTGCAAGAGTTCCATTGCGAAGGGATGTGCTTGCACGAGTCCGATGGTCTTTTCGATGCATAGTCAAGACAAGAGGCTGTGGTTCTGGCTTAAAGATCCATGAGAGGTCAACTGCTGTCCAAGTCTCACGCAGGACTGTCTTGGCAACCTGCAGACAATACAACGCCGGAAGAGGGTGGGAGACTGATCAGAGGGGCGTCAGCCCAGCACATTGATAAGGCGTGCTATCATACCTGAAGCTACTGCCGCACTCGTTGTGGAAAGTAGATGTCATGTAGTGCTGCAGACGAACGAGCAGCTCCAGAACGAAAGCACATGAAATTCAGAATCTGGTTAGAAGATACCGAATGACAGCAAAGTCAAGATGCGCACAGCAGAGACAGAGAGAGAGAGAGAGGAAGGGCGAGAATAGTTTACGGATGAATGTATAGCCGAATAAAGAGGTTCTATACTCTGAAATAAGCACTATGCAAAAATATGTATGGATAGATGGATACAGATAGACAGATAGACACATACATACATAATTACATACAT